TCTTTGATCTTCACTTTCAGTATTTGAGCAGGCATGTTTAGTATCACTCATTTCACAGGAGATTTGGGATCAAGTTTCTTCAACAATCTAAAAAGCAGTACATTAGAAAGGGAATTGTCTGCCAGTCGTCTTAGAATCTCAATACCCTTGATACTAATTTGATGTGATGCATTTCACCAGATGTCTACCTGAACGATGTTTTATGCCCAAGAGGTTTGTGCTACTGTAGAGTATTAAACGTGGCGTTTCTTCCAAGAGCAACTGAATGAAAAGCAACTGTAATTTTTAATCTGCACGTAGGTGTGACAGGGTACAAATATCTGGGAGGAAAAGAGTTCGTCAGGCAGGATTCAAAAGAAGGCTACAACAGAATTGTAAGGAAAATTGCTGCCCATAGTGCTTAAAAAATAAAAAATAATAAACTTGTAAGTGTATTGAAGGTTTGGTATATTCAGATCAAACCCTGAGAGCTGCCACCTTAATTTTATTCCTTTGTAAAAGAAAAAGTTGAGAAAAATTTCCAAAACTTTCCTCTCTGAATAAAATGAAAGGAGGAAAAACTACAGTTGCCGTTCTTTATTTATTTGCATTCCTCAATGGTAAACTGAATGTTTAAGCAACTGACATCAAAGATTTGATTTCTCTGAAGCTAAAAAGCCTATTAATCACAATTTTAAAGCGTTCTTTAATTACTCTGTAATAAAATGACACGCGCAGAGCGGGAGGAAAGATTGTGTACTTTTAGAGTTCCTCATGCTTGTTTGTGTTTCAAATCTCTCCGGAAATCCTCACTGATCCCTCTTGCTTCTGCTGCTTAATTCCATTCTACCACCACAGCTATTGTTTAGCACTGAGCTCTGTTCACCATCTGCAACTACTGAGAGTGCAGGTCTGCTTTCCCAGCCACCCCCAGATACTACAGCAATGGAAACCTCATCCTTGGAGAGGCTGGGAAGAACCTTGACTGCTGTCAGCCCCCAGTTGTCATGGTGCTAAAGCCCCTTCCTTAACAAATGGGGTATTAAGGCTGCAGGGACCATTCCTGTACTTGAAGTTTGAAGAGCATCTTGGCACATTGAGCCTGTGTTTTGTTCTGGGAAGACCTTGAATCCCTTTCTAAACAGCTGACTGGGAGATAAAGGACCAGTAGATGGTGCTCAAGATTGCACAGCTCAGGGCTTAGTCACCCAGGGCCTCCTCCTTGGCTTCAGATGGCTGGGTTTCAGCATTGACGATGACCTCTTAATGTAGGCATTGAAATGAAGAGATCAGTAAGAGACACAAAAGAGTTTTAGTTGACACTTGATGGAATGGGACGTCAGAGCAAAAGTAGCCATAGGGAAAAAGACAAGGTAAATCTGCATTTACTTTCTACAGAGTATATAAATGTTGTAAACAAAGGAGAATGAAATATTAAGTCAAGGTGACTACAAGCTCCTACTTCTACATTAAGTGTTGGTGGTGGTAGAGAAACGTTTGGAGATAAGAAACAAAGCCCAAAGATTAAAGAGTCAGAGGCCTTACTAACTTCACTGAGACCATTCATTAAACTAGAAACATCAGTTGACAGCAAGGAAGCAGCTGACAAAGATGTGAAACCTCTCTGAGTACTGTTTAAGTTTCCTCTTCCTGATAGGAGATGCAGAGGCAGGTGGATGTCAGGAGCTGATCTGGGCTGGTGTGTTTGGTGCACGAATTGGCTGCTAGTGCAAAATTCAGCCAAGTGGTAACGTTCTGAGCTGATCTGTTTTCAGATCCAGACAGTTGTTAATGAAACAGTTGCGGTTTTGTTGACAGAACATTAATTACTTGATCTTAGGACTTGGTAATTGCGGGGGCCCCCTCTGTATACATCACTAATTACATTAGCAATTATATGGCATTTTGAAGACAAAGAAATGACTACAGCAATTGCAGTGTCATAGGGACCCTGCTGGTAAATTTCAATTGAGTTCCTACAGTCTCAGTGAAGTGCTGGGATAACTCCTACATCCGAGTCTGGCAGAAGCATCGTCTGGCTGGATGTGTTGCTGTGGCCACTTGAACCTGATGGGCAAAGTAGAGTGCTTGAATTTCTCATCAGGATGAGTTACATTCTCAGCACTGATATGAAGCATTCTCCAAAGCCTACTTGCTGCTGGAAATATTTCTTCATATGTTGGCTCTCCTGATCCTATAAATAATTATCAGATCTTAGAAAATGATGTCATTTTGTACAGTTCTGCTCTCTTGTTTTGCTATTCCTCAAGTACTATGGCAGGTTGGCAATTACAAAACAGACAGAAGTCTTGCAGTCAGCTGCAATCTACACACTGTGCTGTGTGTGGAAACCTACTTCATGAACTGCTGTTCCATAGGAAGTCCTTTATCACAGGACCTAAAAGTGGGATGGTGGCTGTGGCTAAGAACAACTCTTTCCTGAAGTGTGAAAGGTAATTACTGACTTCCTCTGGTCTGTTTTGTGGTCAGCACGTTGTAGTTGAAGTCTGCTGGATATTTTTTTTTCTCACCTCAATACTGAAGAAAGGGCAGATTTGTTTCATCTCAATAGGAGGAAAATGTTGTGACACTGTTTAACCTGCAGCAAAAGATGTGCTCTTATTGGACCAAAATGTGTTTTTCCAGGGAAGAAAAAACCCCCTTTCCGACTAGCATCACATTAAAGCTTTGATCCAGGTTTAGTATGGTAGCTTTGAAGCTCCCACTAATTCTAATGGTGTCAGGATTTCACCTTCTCATCGCAGACTGACTTTCCAACTTTTATTCAAAACTGAGTATTGATAGCTGTGTGGGATTGAGCTTGAGACTATGGACAAGAACAAAGTGGGTTGAGTTTCCCCAAGCAGGCATGCTGTAGAACTCCCCCAAATAAGAAAATAGCATTCTGCATCCACCTAGTATCACGGGAGGAGGAGCTGGCAATGGCCAGGCTTGTGTTTTGTCACCGTGTCTTTTTCTGTGATTGTTGTAAACAAGAGGTACCTTAGCACAACCCCAAGGGAAGCGGGGCAGCAGATACGATTCCCCTTATCTCCTTATCTATCCTCTGTTGGAAGGTGTTTGGGTGCCTTCCATTTTGGGAGGGGGAAGTGTTGGGTTCCATCTACACCAATGCTTGCTGAGTGTTTCTCTGCCACGGTGCTCTGTCTACACCTCTGCTATGGCCGCCAGCTGTCTGTTTAATCCAGTCCTGCAAGTGGAGTTAATGAGACATTCCTCCTTAACTAACCTGGTGCGATTAAAGCTTCAGATCTTTGCACCTCAACAGCTGTGTGTTGTCACTGAGATAAATATTTTAACTGGTCTGGCAATTCCCTAGCTGCCCTCAGTAAGTGGTTGAAGGAGTGGCTTTCATTTCCCCATTTATTAAAGTGAAATTCAAGTTCTGACAAAACAACCCTCCTGAAAAGACCTGTGAAGGAAAAACAGGGGTAGGAGTGGGGTTGGTTGTCTGCAGGGCTTTTCTCAACCAGGGCACCCTGTGCCCACAACCAGCTGCTCACGTGCAAATCTCGCTGTGCCTTCAGTGGCAGCTAATGGGAGAGTTTTGGTTTGTCACCAATATTAGGAGAAAAATTCCTTTGGTGTTCCTGATGCTGTACAACTAAAGGCTGTTCATATCATTTGCCTTTCTTAATGGCTTTTTTAATGTGGCAAACATCATTGAATACTTTCCAGAGCAATCTCACAAAGGAAAGATGAACAAATCAGGCAAGATATTGGTATTTACATACGTTCATCATGATGATCCTTGACATTGGGTTTGTTTGTTTTTAGCAGGGATTCTCTTTAAGTACAAATATTCTTTGATGATGCCATCTAAGTCACTTGGGGTTGGGGGATGCTGTGCATATGCATTTTGAGTTTAGCAGCTAATATCTTTACTGACACTCTTTTGCTGGGGTTCTTCATGCATCTCCTTCCCTCATGCGGTGTTTTATTAGGAAACTGCTCACGGGGAATCTGCTCAGAACACAGGGCAGCTCCAAAGGTGGCAGCAATAACCCATCCCAGGCAGGACAATGCAATACGCTGTATTGTACAGCATCAGGAGGTAACAGATCGGCAGAGCACAGGAGATCTCCAGGCTTTCATCTGCATAATAAACTTCCTTGCCTGAATACAAAAGTAGGTCGTTGGTACAGACCAAGGCTCTTTCAAAGGAGCTGTTTGTTTCGTGGCTGCAATCTGCACTGCTGGGAGTTCACAGGGAGGAAAAAAAGCTGAATCAGGTCTGAAGTAGAATGGGCTCTGTTGAAGGGTGTTGCAGTACAGCAGTGGGCAACTTTGGCATCACTGCTGGGAAGAAGGTCATCTACTAATTGCATTTATCCCCCTGTGACTAATTGAAGCAGATGACCAAAAAAAAACCTGTTTTCTTCTCTGCATTTAGTCGATAGTGCCTTACAATTTCAGTTCCTTTCGTGGGCATCTGCAGTAGTTTAAACACTGACACGTATTCTGTCACTTGTTAGGCAAAAAAAGGTCAGTAAAAGGGGCTTTTGTCATTAAACCAAATCTTCACGCTTTCCTGTGATTTCACAGAAGAAAACTAAATATTCCTGGCTTTGGCAGTTGGCTATCATTTCCCAAGGTACTTCTCAGCAGTCCAGTTTTTTGGCTTTTTTTTCTTTCCCTGATAAAATAAAGCCAGTTTTCCTTTCTGACCAGTGTTCATAGAAAGGGAACACAAAATCCCTGCTTCACCTGTGCTTCAGCTGGGATTCAGCAGCCAGGTGTGGAAAAGGGAGAGGTCAAATGAAACCATCACTGCCTTATTCTTTGAATACTGTAACCTAGAGCTGTCTCTCCCAGTTGTGGATGGGCATCCTACAGACCAGCATGAAGGCTTGATCTGAAAAACTGCTGCGCAGCACAGAATCCTTATTTTTTTAAAGAGTTATTGCCATAACAGAGCCTTGAGTGACTCACGAGGATGACAAAAGGTGAAGAATAAAGCAGACCAGATACTCTGAAATTAAGATAATTCCCCCCCCTTGTTTACAGTACAAAAATTTTATTTTTTTTGTTAGGATAATTTAAAGTTTAAAACGGAAGTAGACATATTCATTTTACAAACAAGATATTCTTCCATAAGTAGGACCATTAAAAACAGTAAACAAAACAAAAAAATGCTATCTTTACAAAAGCTCTGTGCATAGCAACTTCATACTGAGTGTAACTGACAAAGCAAAAAAAACCAAACAAAACCAAACCAAAAAAATCAACCAGCCAACCCCAAACAAACCCCAAAACTATACAGTAGGGAGAAATGAGGCCTTAATTTACAGAAGGGAGAAAATGGTCTTTAAAAAACCATGCATATTGGAAGTGTGCAAAGAAATAGGGAGAGTAAGATGCTATACCAAGATAAATAATGAAATAAAATGTACTCTTTCAAAGTTATGATAGGATCTGTAATTACCTATCGCGACACTTTCATCTTTCTAGTGGCAAAAAGGAAAGTCATATGGGAATATTAAACAGCAATAACTAAAAGAGGACAGATTTGCTTATTACATTGGAAAAAATCCTTACATATATATCTCTTTTTACATTTCCTTTTCCTTTTTGCTGGGTATTTTGCCACTGCCAATGTCCTCCATTCACGCTCAAGGATTTTTTTGATTGTATTTATTTACACACCTTTTCTCTTTGTAAAGCTACTGGTAACTTCTATGCTCGTTTCAATACAAGGATTTACATGCGTGAGCGAAATTTGTGTTCTAAATCATTCCTATGTTGACTTCTTTCATTCTTTTGGCTCAAATCAAACCCCGTTAAATTATGTCTCAGGCAGCCAGACTTGGTTCTTGTCCCATAGAGAGCCCTGGAGGTGCCTTCCTGGGGAGGTTTTCTTTTCCTTTGGGCTCACAGCTCCCCCAGCTGTGGGACTGAATGGAGCTAATGAAAGTAACTGAGATGTGAAAGGAACATGTTTGTTAAAAATATGAGGGATCAAGGAAGCAAGGTGCTGCCTTTCAGGCTGTGTTCTAGAAGTTTGTATCTGGAGCGTTTCCTGGGCATGGAATTTTGAGTATCATTGGGATAAAATTAGAAAGTAGCCTGAAGAGAAAGGGAGACTGGGGAAAAAAATGCAGTATTTCTATGCATTGGAGTTGCTGGAAAATTTTTTAGTACATCAGAGTGGGGGGAACAGAGATGGTCTATTGGAAACAAGTCTGGTAAGACTCATTCTTTCGTATTTCAGGAGTTCTTGGATTCAATGCTGGTTGTGTTGCTGACCTCCAGTGGTTTCTCCTTCCTTGATGGCACGAAGGACATGCACAGAACCTGCAGTGTCAATGAACTTGCAACCATGATAAACGGTGAGTTATTTTCTTTCATCTTTTCTGGAATGAGACACTTTCTTAGTATCCTGGCTGTAAGACTCTAACTAACTGTATCTGTGCTTCTTAAAAGCACATTATTCCCAGCAAATTTCTTTGTAAAGCTGCTTTAAATTGCTACTTTTTCTGATAAATTGGGCCATGAGTTTTAGAGGACAGTAACCTCTCTCTTCCCTTTCTAAAATATGACATGAGAAGCCCTCCTGAAATATCACAGCAGTCAGGAGCAGCACAGAGCTGCTTCCCAATAGGAGGATCACCATCAGGAACCATAGGAATAGCTCAATTCATTGTCTTTGCAGTCCACTGGCTTCCCTGCTGTGCTGCATTCCGGTTTAGAAACACATCCTGCTAACATGTCTGTAAACCAAATGCATTTCTCAGAAGGTGAACTGTATGCTTCACCAAATTAAGCTTTGAGGAGGCCCCGTTTTTAGCAGTTTGAACCAGAAGTGCAGTCCCAAGAAGTCAGCTTCCCTGCACCAGGCTATTTACAGGAATGATTTTACACGTTTGCAGAATGCAGTCCTGTGCCAAAACCTGTCTGTAAGGTGGGAGCCTATGACAATCATACCACACAATACCGAGCTTCAGGCACTGATTGCTGCAGCTGGCTCTGAACCACAGAGACCTTCTAATCTATTACTAATCCAAATTTGCTCCAAATGGCCTCAGCCATTGCTGTCCCAGCTGTCCAGTTCAGGATGGACTCAAGATGGAGAACATCATCTACCACAAATTGTTGAATCACAAGAATACTATTTAATGTATTGGTAAAAATACTGGGCATTGGACAAGTAGTTTTAGGGACCATATATTAAGGATTTATTTATCAACAGAAAGATGCTATCATAGGAACAACTATTCATGCAGCTGTGAATGGTGTTTTAGTAGGGAGTAAATAGTGTAGCTGACTTTTATTTTCCTCAAAAAAATGGCTTTCCAACAAAATCAATTTCTTTTTAGTGGTCTCTGCTTTATCAGATAAGTTGTGATTGCTTTCCTTACATTCTCACCTTCCAACTTCAGGAAGGGAGAAGCAAAGGAGAACTAAATGTCAGTTTTAGGCCAAAATGCAGAAAAAAATCACACTGGATGCTTCTACAAACTTTAGTGTATAAATGGAAAATACTTACCGCTGGGAATGACTCAAGATAAAAGTGCATAAGTTATTCAAAAACGTATCTTCCCTTTACAAATGCGCCCTTAACGCGAAGTATAACTGAATGCAAAGTGTTCCAACTGCACAGAAGAACAATGTTTGAGAGAACTCTTTCTCTCCCCAGTTCATACACTGAGTGTATAAAGTAAACTCAGTACCTCGTGAAGACTCCAAATGGTTCAAATCCCTACGTGTGCCACTCGTTTGCCAATGGGGTCATTGAAACTTACCAGTTCATCTTAGTACCTGAATGTCTTAATTGAAACAAAACACAGGAGGGGGGGAAGAGGAGGAGGATGAAAATTTGTACGTGAATCAGTGTTCTGTATATCATCACGTGTTTATCAGTTTCTGACAATTTTGTTAATTGATCAGAAAGAATCCTATGATATCCTTGCACATGGATTCACTAAGAGGGAAGAAGTGAGGAGCGACCGCAGCAGTAATATATCTTGAACTTGTCACTACATTTTTGCATCATTTTTCTTCATTGTACAACTGGAGGAAAAAATCCAAAAAAGGTTTAATTTCTACCTCTACATACAATAAGTTACAAGTTTATTTATTTAAATAATTGTAAAACATCTTACATTTTTAAAGAGGTTAAACTATAAGCAAATACACACATACACCAAAGTTCCATCACTCGTGTCAGTTTGTCCTAGAAATTCTTTCATGCTGGTACCCTGTTTTGTTGATTTTTTTTTTTTATTTTTTTTTCTGCATAAACTAAATTGATATCTGAAAGGCTCCATATAAAATAGAAACTTCAACTTTTTTCCCCTACAAAGTAAAACAAATTGTATCCAAAATATCAAGCTTGAATCATTTTTGCCAATTTCTTTTTCCTTTTAATATTTTACAAATCTTAGGAAGGTTTCGTGTCTTTCAAGACTTTGCATTTCTGATCCCATTCTGCCAACTGTTGTTTGTCCTCTGGCTCTTGGCTGATTCTTCATTCGCAGTGTTCTAGGAGTTGACGTGGTTGTGTCAGAAATATCAAACAGGTAAAAGATGCAGCCTTCTGTCTCGTCCAATCCATAAAAAATGTTCCTTTTATTTCCTGGGCCTGGCTTTCCCCCCAAAAAGAGCTTGTAGTGCTATTTATTTTTTTTTTCTTTTTAGTGGTCCATCACAATAAGTAGTTTTGTGCTGTAAAAGAAAAATGAAAAAAAAGAGGAAAAAAGGGAAGAGGGAGAGGAGCAAAGCTGCCTCTTCCTTACATCGGGGGAACGACAAGACCAGTCATGGCTGAAAAAGAAAATTGACAAAGATGAAATGCTGGCATATTTTTATGGAGAAAAGTTTATTTGAGCCCTTCACCCTTCTGTGTGCAGTCACACATTGCAGCAGTGCATCTATTTGCAGGTTAAATGATGGTATTAAAAGACCTTCAATGTCTCAGAATGTTTTTATGCTTGATTTGTGCTTTAGTGAGAAGAGCCAACGGTGCAAGCCTGACAGCAGCCACAGAAAATGAACAACGTGCCACTTCATTGTGGGTTCCACAGGGCCAGGCCCATCGTGGCTTTTAAGTCAATAAAGGAGAGAATGGATTAATTGAAGCTCTAGTGCGTGAACTTTCAGAAATGCCTAATAATTTTTGGTGCACGTGTCCTAAGACTTGTTGCAAATGGACACTGAAATTTTTGGGACAGTTCCTAGCAGATTTCTTATGCTTTCTCAAGTTGAGCACTCAAAATCATTCTTGAACTGTCAGGACCAAGCGGGGTCCTTGTTTCTCACTCAACCTGCTAATTTGCTTGCAAGAAAAGGTTATGGTGTGAGTGAGGAAGGATAATGTGAAAGCAAACGGGAATTTACCCAGGAACCACTTATGGGACCTCGCCATAGAACTGTGAGTGCTGATTCATTGGAGAATGACCAGAGCTGAGCTTTACTAATTCAGTTTCAGTGGAAATAATGGACCAGCCTCTCTTTCTCGCTTGGTTTACCCCATATGTCTGAATCACTGTAGTCTTACCTGGCACGTTCCCAGAACACCGGGCTTATGTAAATTATTTATTAGTCACTCTCACTGCCTTTAATTGCAGTTATATTCTTCATAACTGACAACGGCAACATTTGAAGCTGCCTGGAACTGGTGCTGTTCCCAAAGGTTTTGAGGGGTAAGTTAAGTTTATATGTATTTATATAACAAATGAGTGAGTCATATTTTCAAAGGGGCCTCAGCGTAGTGCAAGGTCCTAATCCTGTGAAGATTTACGTTCATTGAAATTTGTGGGATTATTCATGTGTTTAAAGCCCTGTCCTCCGAGAATTAATTTCACCCTTATGTTCACAGTGTTTAAAAAAAAATGCTCAGGGCGAGATCCTCAGCTAACATGACTCTTTTATTGGAGCTCTGTTGATTTTAAACAACTGTGGACATGGTCTGTGATTTAATACAATAGGAAAACAAATATTTTCATATTTTCTATGTGACTAGGGCTAAAATTTCCTGCAAATTTTGACAGCTGAAAAAGAAAGTGAAACTGAACAATCTTGAGTCAAGTATCTGCTGTTCTTAATGGCATTTGCTAGTGTGTTTCAAATGGAGATTTTTTTTCAAACAGGCAATTGATATAACCCTAAATGAGGAAGGTAAATATTTGCATGTCTACTGAGGGTCAAGGGGGAAGAGAGTGCATCTGAAGAAGAGAGGCCTTCTGGTCACGTGAGGGGCTGCTCCTCTCTTCTTCCTGACTCCCCCAAACTGGAAAATGACTTTAATTTCCTGGAGGGCTGGGACACTGAAGAGTTACCCACTGACCTGCCTTTCTACCCTCTAGAAAACTGGATTTAAGCCTTGGGTTGACGCCCTTGCCTGGATTCTGCAGTGCTGGGGGAAGAGGCATGCGCTCCCTCGGCTGCTCACCGCCATCCACAGGTTTCCCAGCAGAGCAATCTATGTGAGCACTTCCTAATCTGCTTCAGGCAAAATCATCCAAGTTAGCTCAAAGAATTTAAGTTGTTTGTCTGAAGTATCCTGGCTGGGTCTTTTGCCTGAAGCAAAGAAAGCAAGGCTTGCACAGACTGTGCCTGGTCAGTCCTCTGTTTGGATGACTCTGCAGAGAAGCAGCAGTCCCTGTTACAGCTAACATGGTTTAATTTGAGACATCCATAGTCTGCTGTCAGTGTGGTTTAAACTCTATTCCTAAGGGGGAGAGATCACACTGGCATAGGAGCCACTTCTGATACTACTCTTATCAATGTTATTGTCGTTCTTTTAATCAAGTTAAATTTCCAGCAGATCAAAACAAGGACTAAAGCTGAGTTTCTTCCAGGAGCCTTCAAAAATATTTTAGGAATGCTTGCAGAGGCAGCATTTTGTAAAGCCCCTTACAGTGAGGGAGGAGCACATTTTCACGGCGTAATTAAAGAGATGACGCTTGGGTCCAGCAGTCCTGGACTCAGACTGCTGCCAGCAACAACAGAATTGCCATCTGCAACCCACTGTGTTATTACCTCTGGGACTCTGATCTCTCTTTTGCCACCTTTTCCCCTGAGCAAGTCTCTCTATCCTCTCCTTTCGCCCCCCTCAGAAAGTTTGGTTTGTCATTGCAGGCTGTAAATGCTCCAGAGTGGCGAGAAGCCCTTGGAAGCTGTTAGGATGGAATCTGCCCATGGAGAAATCGAGGTGGAACTGTAAGATAATAAGGACAGGCAACAAGCTTTATTGCTACCCTGGTGTTTCATCTGAAAGTTGCAGCTTCACCTCTTTCTGCAACAAAAAAGGAGGCTGAGGACTGCTGGCTGGGATTCTCACCTGTTCTTCCCCAGCTCACACAAATGCCTTTGCTCTGTGGTTCTCTCTTTCTGCCTACCCTTATCTGTCCATTTCCACCCCACCTCCACTCCCCTTTGGGGCTGCACTGTCAAAAGCCTATTCCCAGCCTGTATCGCTTTTTATTGAATGTTTGTGAGGTTTGGATTAAGGTCTTACACTGCTAGCAAAGCTGTAATTATTTTTGCCTGTATTACTATATATTGAATCGATGTAACTTTTCAATAAAGGTGGTTCAATGCAGGACACTCCCTGATGAGTTGGGAATATAGAAACCACAGTCATTATCCCAGAGGGTGGGTTTTTTTTTTTTTTTTTCTTGGAGGGAAATGGAAAAAGAATTAGAGATGAGCCTTATTGTATTAACCTTGACAGCTTGCAATTATCAACTGAAACACTTGATTAAAATTGTCACAAGGTTGGAGAATTTTTTAATAAATAAATAATCAAACATGGATAGTACCCAGATGCTATGGTGATAGGCACCTTTAATGGCTGTAATTAATAATGATCATAAGCCTAGTGTACACGAGTGGCTCCTGGAAATGCCATCTTGCTCTGCAGTGCAAAGAACTCTGCAGTTCACACAACCATTCAGTAAGAACTGGGGATGGGCTCTGCACTGCTTATACATTCTATAGCTAGCATAGGTGCTTTGGTGGCTAAATTATGACTTGTTTTACAAACCCCACTTTCTAAAGAAGGGTGTTGAGCGTTTTCAGCCACTGTGTCTTCCTCTCTCCTTTGGTTGTATGACTATTTCTTTTCCTCTTTTGCCACAGTTTCCAGTGAACTGCAATCTTACAGTTCTACAGCTCTCCACAGAGGTGAACAATGTGCTGCAGTGGTGCAATTTTGAGCATCTTAAATGAATGCTGCTATCCTGCAAGGTCAGAAATACCTCTGTGCATGAGGTGTCCTGCACACAAAGACGTAGGTTTCTAATTGCAAAAGCCACCAAGCTGTTGGTACCAGATGCAGCTGGTAGGTGCAAGCTTTACCCTATTGCTATCTTTGCTTCCCATCGTGGCTGCCACTAGAAAATGCATAGTTTCACTTTTAATAATTACTTATATTACTTATTTAATAATAACTGGGGAACTGTTTGTAAAACAATGCACTGTTTTACAAATGAGCAATCAGCTCGGTGTTTTCCTCCAGATATCCTAGCTATACATTGTGACATATAATGAGCTCCTATAATTAACATCCCATCAAGTGAAGGATAAGCAAATAATAGGATTTTTGTTTAGCTAACTTCTAACAAGAAGTTTGAAATATCTTTTATGACTTTCTTTACTTTGAAACAGTTTGTGCCCCATACGTCTCTGCCAATAAACTGCAGAGAAAAATGTACTTCATCCTTATATATCAAATTTAATCAAATGACACATATATAGTTTTCTTACATATTGACATCATGAATATATCATTTATGGTCTGTAAGGTACTTAAAGCACTGTCTAGTGTACACCTCTATTACACCTCTATTATCTAATACACCTCTATTTCCTTAGGAAATAGTACAGATGTCCCCCTTGCTAAATTGAGACTGTTCCTATGGGTATCAGACTTCAATACTTTTTGGGTTGGCTAGGATCCTGATGGTTAATGGAACATCTGACCTTCTGGGGCTTGCCTGCTATTCCTTGTGACTGAGCTTGCATTTTCATGTTGAGATGTGCTGAGCTGGCCAAAGGTAATCTGGGCAGTCAGCGGTCCATGCTGTTCCAGCAGTTTCCAATTTGCTTACTTTTCCCCATCAGCTGTCCTCCATCTGAGATGAGTTGATTAGGCATTTGTGTACTAATCATGCCGTGTTGCATCACGTCACATTATATCTTCCCAATGCCTTCTTTAAACTCCCTTGACATCTGACGTGAATGGAGAATACAATTGTTCTGATCAGGATCACCTGCTCTCAATTTGGGTAACATATAGAACTGAGTGGCATCCAGTATGGATTGCTGCTTGTTCTCTACCTATCGTGTCCTGTAACAGTGAAGGAATGTATAGCAGATGGCAGGTGAAAGAGGTAAGCAAGAACACGTGGCACAGGATGGGGTTATTAGAGGGCATTCCACAGGTCTTGGCTGAGTTGTGCAGCCCCAAGCTGAAAGCCAGCAGATAGGCACATTTCATGCTCAGCTCATAGTTTTGATTCACAGTGTGTTTTCCTCAAGCTGTCCTGTTATTTCCAGCACAAGATTGTCCCTCAAAAAAACATCTTTGCATCTCTTAAATGGCCAGGAATAATGAGAGTGCTAATCTGAGGATTAAGCTCATAAGGCTCCTGTTTAGACTAGTTTTTATCCAGGCTTAAACACTGCTGTAGTTAACGTACACAGAAGCTCCATTCAAGACTTCTGTTGCTGCTTGTAAGCAGAGTGGCCCTGGGGGCCAGGTAGCATTTTTGATGCTATCACTGCAACAGGATGCAATAAGTAGGATGGAGGCTGTATCACTAGGAGACTTTTTGCCTTTCAACAATAGATGCAGGCAAAGTACAACACTGGAGATGTTACAACAGAGCTTAAAAAAATCCCAGCTGGAAAGATGCTTTTGCTGTATTATGGGTAGGGAAACTGGGAGGTGATGTCAAAACCCTGCATGATGTGCTTTCAGTTGGAGCCTGAATATACTTACAGCTTGTTCTGTGCTTTTGCTGATGCCCATGTTAAAATAAAATTTATATATATATATATATATATATATATATATATATATATTAACAGCATGCCTGTTCTTAGCTTATATATTACATGGCAATGGCACAGCAAAAGGAGATTAACAGTGTCCCATTACTGCAGCACAGTAAGTCTATTCAGGAGGCCTGTTTGGGACCCTCCTGTTGACTTTCTGGCCACATCTGTCTGTCAACACTGTGGGAATATTAATTTGGATATCAGGCTGTGTGTAGCTGGACCCTCTCCAAATCATGCACTCCTCAGCATCAATTTAAGCAGTTCAGTTGGAAAGAAAACTTTCCATCTCTGGCTGAAATAGTTAAATAGCTACGAAAACCTGACATAGCGAACCTGGGGCAGAGTGGTCTGTGAATCAGCTGCTGTCTTTGCTGCGAGTCACAGCTGTGGTTTGCTGCTGCAGTCTGACTGACAAGTCTCACTGTGCAGGTACTGTATCTGCTGAAGTCACTTGTGGCTTTATTACTGCTGTTATGTATTGCAGTGCTGAAGTACAAGATTTCCCACAGTGAAGGAGACACAGTGGACTTCTATCGGTGAAAAATGCAAAGATGTGAGTGCTGGGTTTTTAGCTCTAAGATTTTCTGTTATATTGAAGTTCCATTACTAGAATCTCTTATTTCCAATTAATAGATTGAATAAAACACATCGTAAACACTAAATGCCATTAATAGCACAAAATGAACTCTGTTACTTCACTTGTTTACAAAAGGGATTAAAGAGAAATTTAAAAAAACTCTTGCTAAGCTGCATCTGAAGCAGATGGGATGGACACAGTAAGTCAAGGGACAGTGTTAACTAAAGTTCATAACTAGTCGGTGTGGTTTTTGTTACCCAATCTTTTCCTTTCTCCCAGGAAGTGTCTTGACAATGATTTTTCCCTGAACTGATCTGCAGTTAGCTCTGCCTTTGGTAACTTGTTAAAATAAACCTTCTAGCCTGGTGGGTACACAAGTTTGAATTTAAATCCAATTTAAATCTACTCTGAACACAAAGCTGCTGTTGAGTGATTTCTCTTTAGATTACGTCCAACTGCTTCAAGCTATAGAACCAAACTACTCCTGAGCTTGATAGGCCTTCCTAGTTCGATGTTCAAACCTGTTTACAATCACGTGGCCTTGGAACAGTTTCTCAAAACAGCTAAAATCTCACCATGGGTTTTGTTTGCTTTTATACATATAAAAATACAGTGAAATCACTATGGTCCAACATTAGCTGATAGAACTCAAAAAAAAAAACAAAGGTAACTGCAGACCAGGTAGTGATGATAACTCTTCAGAGTCCATGATCATACCCGACACAAAGATAAATTTGCCTGTAAACAGTTTAGATAAATAGCCCCAGCTGTTGGGTCAACAAAGCTTTCTTTATGTACAAATCTGTGCACAAAAATTGCTTCAAATACTCCTGCCCTTCTCCTTTAAACAGAGTAGGAAAGAAATTGTGTTCCCTGTCAACATGTGCATTTACATGGATGGGGCAATGTGTTTCTTTAATGGGGAGGAGATGATCTTAAAGGGGCACGAAGTTTCAGGTAATTGCAGCAGGGGAAGAAGCTGTTTCACATATATAGCAGAATTCTGCATGCTAGCTTTTAAAAATGTAATTATTTTTGTTCAACACACCTAAAATTTCCTTATTATATAAAATAATCACAGCTTATGTAGGTCCCTGTGGCCTGGCTAAGGATTTATAATGCACCCAAATCAACAGGTGCGGTTTGTAGGACTCATTTTTAGAATTACCACTGGCTCTTGGCATGGCTGAGTTCCCAGATTTGTTTTTTTTCTATGATATCTCTAGTGAAGTCTGAAGGAGCCAGATGACTTCTAAGGCCCTATAAAAGCTTTCTTTTATGGAGACTTGGAGTGTATTTATGTGCTGCACAACCCCCCCTCCCCTCCCACAGCCTGTTAAAGCAAAGAATTTAATACAGGTTTCCATTCTTATCTTAATACTCACATTTGTTTTGCAGATCACCTTTAAAAAGGCTGTAAATGTACTATAGGGCTTAATTCCCTGCATGAGCCTAAACCTTGCAGCAGGTTTCAAGACATTGGCCATTGTGTGCAGAGCTGTCTATTAACTCTGCAAGGCAGACATTTGTTTTACAAGTCCCTGCAGCTTAAGGAGAAGCCATTCCTCGCAAAAGAGCTGGTATTTAAAAGAAGCATGGGTGAAATCCTTGTCGGTATAAATGAGTATCTGTCCCTCATTGCTTTAACGTGAAAAAGACAAAACATGGAGCAATGCTTTAATCCAGCTGAGTTGGGTCAGACTTTCACTATAGAGTCCTCTAATGGTGTAGTGGTCTTTCAGGTGGTTATTGTATTGGCTACAGGTGAACACAGTGTGCTTGGTATATGCCAGCTGAATGTGAATTGTGCATTTCTTACCTCTAAACCCATTTCCATTGCCACTGGAGCAGGCAGGAGAAGGAGACCCTTGGGGTCTGATGACGGGAGCAAAGGCACTCTTCTGTTTGACAGCAGGAAAGACGGAAGAGGAGAACGGAAGGATGGAAGAAGTGCTGGAGGAGCCAACTGTTGGACTTGAAGACATTACTGCAAGAGAAGAAAAAGTTATTCCTCATCAGAGATGCAGTAAGACATGTTTGGTGTTGCTTTATATGTCTGTCCTGTTGGCTTGGCTGAGGTAAGTCTAAAGTAGAAGGGTAGTCAGTTAGACTGAACAGCTAGGTCAAAGAAAATATGTCTAATTAATCTAATTAATCAATATTTCTTGTGTTTTCAAATGAATCCCCAAATCTCACAGAATTGTAGAATCACAGAATCACAGAATTGTAGGGGTTGGAAGGGACCTCCAGAGATCATCGAGTCCAACCCCATCTCCTTTAAGTATTAGTTAGAAAGAATAACAACAATATGCTGCAGACTTGGTCCTTTCCTTAATGAAGTCCTACAGAGGGAAATCAAGTCATGGAAGGAAGAGTGACTTGCCTGTGGTCACCCTTGTAACAGGAAGTGCAATAATACTTACTTCATCGAAGTAAAAATAATCCAGAGTTCAGCTCTGTTATTGCTAATGTAGTACAAAAGTCATTTCAGAATGTCTTTTACTAAGGATATTCAATTCACAGGCAGGGTTCAGTATTCCTCTGTTATTCGTGAAAGAGGGGAACGTCTGTAGGTACACTAGAACACAAATTCTAAGCCTCTTACAGAATTTTCACTGAATCTCAAAAACTTTTCTTGAAAGATGTTGCTCTGTTACTTGATGCAGTAAATGAAATTAAGCAGGGCCAGGCACAAACCTAGAAGAAGCAAAGCACTTACTTCCATAAGGGGATCCTGTTGGAGAGCCGTTAATGAAACCGGGGGAGCCTGGAACACCCAGGTTTGACATGGGGACGTTGCTGTAGCCATTCATGCTGTTGCTGGAAGTGCTGTAATTGGACTGTTGAGGTGTGGAACTGGATGAGTAACCGCGGGGTGAGATGCTGCTTGTGTTACGAATGTAACCTACAAATAAAACATATTTCATGGAATGCCAAGGAATTTAGTTTAAAACTTTCTCTTTAATTAAAAAAAAAAAAAAACAAAAAACAAACCCTGGCTCACAGTTAAATTATTTATTTAAATCCAGCTTAAATAAAACAGCCAAGTAAGTGTAATTAAACTGTCAGGGGGGGAAAGAACAATGTAAGTAAATAAAAGCCATTTGTTGTCTTTCATGTTTGGTTGCAAAATGCTTGTGGTATTTTTCTTAGCCTTCTTTTCCTCCAGAAAGAGATTTGAAGAATACTACAGCTATCATCATTAAAGTACCAGTCTATTATTAGAGCTGCAAAAGGGTTTTTCCACTGAAAAGACTTCATTAGAAGGGTGTGATCCAATACTCTTAACTACAACTACTACACCAGGTCACACAGGTAGACATCCAGATGGGTCTTCAGTACCTCCATCGAAGGAGGCTCAAGTTGAGACGCTACTGTTGAAATAACTGAGATTCAGTTTCTCACTGTGTGAATTAACACTGTACCGCTTGCACTGCTCACCTTGGTTGTTTCCCTGTGTTGACTCTGAGATGCTGACCCCCAGCTGGCTGCCGTAGGAGTTAATGCCCATCATGCTGCTGTGCGCCGGGGAGCTGGACAGTGCAGGGATCTGCGCGGGATTCCGCGGTACGCTGTAGAGAGCTTCTGCGATGTCTGCAGCTCGTTTCAGAATGATGTCCTGCAGAACGAAGGGCACAACTTCAGCAAAGTGCTGGGAGAAAAGTGCTGGAGTTTGTTACAAAAATCTCAAGGCATCCCACTACCCTGCCCAGAGTAGTTACTCTGACCTGGTTGTTATGCGGCGTTCCGTACAGTGCTTCAACTAGGTCAGCAGCTCGTTTCAACAGCATTTCCTAGGGAAGGACCAGATAGAGAGACACGTAAAGCAGCTGGAAAGGACAGGAGTCCCGTGCAGGGGAAGCGGCGCGGTGCGGGCGCTGGACGGCAGCGGGCGGCGGCTGAGCGGCGCGCCGGGCCCGGAGCTCTCCAGCGTCCTGAAGGCGGTCGGCCATCCCCGATTTCCAACAGCAACTCGGCTTCCTGCTGGATTTCAGTGCATCTTTTTGCATAGGCACATCAGGCGAGAACGCAGAACCTGATCGCCTATCATCACGCAGAGATAGGTAATAACAGTTAGTCTTCTACTGCACTGAAATAGAGGAGTAAAGTCATTCATGCGGCTCTCGTAGCGCGAGGCACTGCATCAACAAGCTGCAAGATTACAGACACAGCGCTTTCAACACGTACATGCTGCGGTTGTGGCTGCAGAAAGCTGACTTTCAAGTGATCTTTAATGAAAGATTCCTTTCAGATTAGACCTCTGCATCAATTCCTTTATGCTTATCATATTTAGGTTCAGAGATTTGCCAGCATGGATAAAGACAAACAGAATATCAAAAAATCACAGAATTGTAGGGGTTGGAAGGGACCTCCAGAGATCATCGAGTCCAACCCCCCTGCCAAAGCAGGTTCCCTACACCAGGTCGCACAGGTCGGCATCCAGGCAGGTCTTGAACATCTCCAGAGAAGGAGACTCCACCACCTCCCTGGGCAGCCTGTTCCAGTGAATATATCCATATGAATATGAATTGAGAAGATATGTGCTGTCAACGCACATTTTAGTAGTAAAAGAATTCATAGACAGTGCTTGAGTTCTAACAGGTAAAACTTACAGGTAGCTATAGAGCCAACATGATCAAATTGTTGTTTGGACCTACAACCAATTAGTGAACTTTTACTTATGTTCAGATATAATTGTCAGTTAAGGTACAATTTTCCATCTTTATGAGTTATTTAAAAGTGAAAGAAAATACTTACTGGGCTTGGTTGGAATGCTTAAAAATGTTTTTACCTTAGCTAATCTTTCAGGGTCCCCAGGATGTCTTGGGATGACTTTTTGCAGTCTTTGGAAACCGTAATCTATAGTAGGTTCATTTAAAGCTGAAAGGAAAACAGAAGATAATGTATTACATGATTATGTGTCTCAGGCAATACCAAACTTAAAGTCTTGCAAAGAAAGATGAGTTTTACAGCTTCTCCACTGCCACAATATCTAGCAAGTTATGGAAAAAAAAAAAAAAAAAAAAAAAAAACCTCAAAAATTTACATACGGTATTGATTATACAGTCAGAAATCAACAGTACCATATTTGGTCATCTCATAAACACATCACCCACCCTGCATACATTCTGCTATCACAAACTAGGGTGCAGCTATTCATTAGACACATTAAACTCTTTAATTGTATGTGGCTTTTATGCATACGTAACCACTTCACTGTAACGATGTTAATTTCTAGTGGCAAACCAAGAGATCCTTAGTACAAGCTGGTGGAGCCCTGATGGAATCGTTGATAATTTCATATAACTTCAGACATGCTGATAGTCTCTACTTTGACAGTAATAATGTAGTTTCTGATTAATCAAAATTAAAATCTGTTTGAAATTAATATAGAAACCAACATCAGCTCTTCAGAATTCTGCACGCTGGCAGGATTTGCCTCTAATATGTTAGGATTATTAGTGTTTAGTAATAAATATATAGATAGATAGAATTTCATTATACTTCAGAATGAGCATTGTAATGTAAACGACACATTCATGCAATCGTATGCAAAGAATCTTGCTTAGAATTCCATGAACCATTTAACAAGTGATGCATCTAACTCCTGTAGCAATATCCTCATTCAGTGCTGGCTTCTTTCACCTTTTGGTACAATTTCTCCTTCTTCCACAACTTTCTTTTTTTTTTAAAAGAACTGGTGACATCAGCACAGCTGAAAAAATACCTGATTCCAAGAAATGCAGGTGGCATTTACTGACTCCTCTGAAATATTCTCAGCATCTTTCAGGATAACCGTTTCAAACACCGGGAGAATTAAACTATCAAGTGAGACAGACTATTATACGGATCCAAATTCTCTGTTTATCTGTTTCTATCTTTGGTATAACAACATGAAGGTAAAAGGTCATATTCCCCACCGAGATACATTTTATATTTACTTTTTATTAAATAATTATGGCATGGCATGAAGTTTAAATATTACAGGAGATAATCAAGTGGGAATTGTGAAGAGAAAACCCAGACCAGAGAATTTAGTCTTGGCTATACTTAGAATGTCTTTGCTCTCCACTGGGAGCCATTCTGGTTTGCTTAAGGAGTTTAATAATACACATTTCAACTGCCACAGAATCTACATCCCGTTTGGGAAGAGGTTTTTTTGAGGGGGTGGGTTGTTTTTGTTGGTTTTTTTTTTTGCCAATAATCCTGAGAATTATAGACCAATTCTCTCACGAGCCTATACATCATTGTGTGCCATTTCTCTTCTTGATTACAAGTCTAATGAGTTATGTTGCATTTTTTAGATATAAGCAAGAGCAATGTAAAATATACAAGAAATATAACATATATCTATATATAGTTAACTAAAATTAGCTAACGGGAATATACAGCATTCTAATTCAGGAAAAAGAAATAGGCTGTTATTCAACAAACATTTTTCCAAAGTACTGACATGGATTTTTTTTAAATTCTATTCAGACAAATAAATAGCAACAAATAAATTCTCAACAATGTTGAACTGTCTAAGAACTCAACCATTTACAGTTCACGCAGATATTATGCCTCTTGTCACAAAAGGTTTTCTGTATGATCTGTAGTAAAAAAGATTACTGTTATTTTACTCATTAATGAAACAAAACTATCTCTGTTATGAAATCCTGCAAAGAAACATGTGATATTTTTGGAAATAGATGGTAGCTTTTCAACTGAAGCTGCAACAGGAGAGGTGAGATGTAGACTCCATCAGCAAGTTTAAACAGCTTCACCACAATACCACCTCCACTGAGAAAAGAACTATTGGATCAGCAGTGATTTATCTATGTGTTACATAGACTGTATGTCAAAATTATATCCAAATGCTTTTTGGTTCCTGGTAGAGACCAGAAAGAGATAGGTATCCAAAGTGAAGACTTCCAGAAAACTGACTGAGGCATAGCAAAATCTCTTTGACCGCTCACAGATCCAATGTTTCAGGCACTAAGGGTCTCTTGAATTTCCCAGAAAGTAACTTAAAAAATTGTTCATGACATGAGATAGCATGTGCACAAAAGAGCACTCATCTAGAAAATAAACACATTGTTGGTCAGTTTATAAACTGCACTCTAGCACAGTTGTTAGAATTATGTTATAGAATTGTCACAGTCAGCAGCAGGGAGAGGTCTGAATGCCCCACAGTCTGCCTGGCAATTTATGACAAGACCCAAACAGAGTACAGCATAATGCTGCCTCTTTTATATCATTACTTATCCTAGATAAACCATGCTTCCATTTTAAATACAAGTCTCCAGTTACTATGGCCCACTGGAATATGATGCCATGACACCTGTCTGCATTTGCACAACCTGAAACAACAGCTCAGTCCCATTCATCTCAACGGGGACTAACTCAGATACCCAATGATAACAGTGCTGACATTTAAAGTATTAATTATTTCACCACACATCAAAGCACATAAGACTGGTGAAGGAGGAGGATGTTTTGAAGATCTGCACAATTTACCATGAGTGACAGCTCGCTCTGATATCACAGTGATGCCCTGGGAGATGCGTGTTCTCCCTCTCTGCCAGACAAAAAAGGGCCTCAGTCAAAGCCCTTGGCAAAGTTCTGCAGCTCGCCTATGCTTTACTCTATGACACAGAGCAAATGCCAACAAGCCCACTGTTTGCAAAGCATAAATGAGGAGAAACAAGGTATGCATACTTCTAGACGTATCTGGAGCATAGAAAACTGAGCAAGGGAGCATATTTAATATTTAGAGCATGACACCTAACCTTCAAGAGCTTAACATACAGAAAACAAAGCACCCATAGTCTTAAAGTCCTGGACTCCAGCTTTGCACTGAGGACTACCATCACTCAAATCAACAGTAAAGAGATGCTTAGTATTCACCCTACAGAATAAAATATTTATCTTCACATTGCTGACTACAGAAGATCTTTGCTTACAGTCAACAGCAATTCTGTGCATTGGGAAGTATGTGCATCTGGTGAGTCTACTCGGAGGAGTACATTAGGACCTAGAGACCTAGAGTTGGAAGGATGCTACCAGAAGTACACATTGTGCTATATTTGCTGTTTCAGTAACAGCTTTCTCAAACACCACACTCCCAACACAGCAATGTCTTCAACAGGCTGAAGGAACCCAGGAGCTGCTCTGTGCAAATGCTTACAGATCACATCAGTTGTGTTCGGGCCAAGTGAACTCACTCTTCCAATTTCTAGAACTCACTGTATCCTTGTAAGCCTTGCTTTCCACAAGCAGATAACAAGAGCTTCTCAAATCTACTTACAAGCTTTAGTAAAACAGTACCTCCCATCCTTGGTACCTGGCACAGAAAGTGAAACACCACAGCCTGGGAGACCAACATATCCTACAGATTAGTTTATATTGCATTGCTCTGACAAGTTAACTCCAGGAGGATTTTTGCTCAGCAAGGAGAATTATGTTCAAAATCTCCCTGAAATACGCATTTCCAGGTTAGAAACTGTACGACAAAGTAAATGCAGAGCTGTGATCAAACTTAAGATATGAAAGCCTACGAGACATATCTGCAGCTGGCGTAAACTGAGGTAAGTGTTATTAAAGTCAATGGAGTTATAATAGCGCTACTTAAAGGAGCAGAGAATGTGAATCTGTGTAGTATTACAGCAGAATATGAGGCTACTGCTGGATTAGCAGCAGGGAACAAATGTCCTGTTTTAAGAACAACTGATGATAGAGAAGTAATACAGAACACGGAGGTGTGCGTGTAACCTGTATTCACACCAGTTTAAGGTTTATATGGAGGATAAATATTTAATTATGGTGATTTAAAAACAGACTTATCACCCTTATTATACTAACTACTGATGTCAGTTGGTTCAGCAGCTGCCACTGCCAGTAACAAGCCATTCCACTAGATTTTTGCCATACTCCAGGACATTGTTGGACACCCACAGAATCTTACTGGCTTCACCCTTAGAAGGGTTTTCCATCTGGCATCTGTAGGGAAAAGTCCACACATAACATTTTGGTGATGAGAGGAGTTTGATGGGTGAGATGCAGCACCCTGAATGATAGCACTTAAGAGTGGAAATGCTGACAGAACCATAAATACAGCAATGCCAGCACAGCACACTTTGCTAGGAGCCCATAATAAATACACATTACAGGATGCATATGAGCTCCCTTAACAGCTCTACTGTGGCATTTAGATTTACCCTTGAAATTTATATCTGATTTTTATACTCATCTTTTTAACACTTTATCATTTTCTTCTTCAAACAACCTGTATTGTTACTATTAAAAAAAAAAAAAGACCAAGTATAATCAGGTCAAACATTAATATTTGATGGTATATTAAATATTGAGGGCACAAACAGAAACACACTTCACAATACTAAGATCACTGCTTTTCTGCTTCCACGTTTTAGGAAAGTATTGGTGGCCTGGTGACAAAAAGATCTGCCTAGGACCTGGGAGATCCATTCCCCTGTCTTCAGCTTTCCTGCACAACCACAGGCAGTGCTTAATCCTTCTTCTTCTTCCCATGGCAGTTCCTCATGTACAGAAAGGAAGCACATGTCTGACCTGCGAGGCCCTGATGAACCTTTCAAGGTCTGGTTTTCTATGAGTAATTATCATTGCTATACCTGTGATGTGCCTATAGCCAGCTGCTCAGTAGTTTTAAATGACTTGACCCTTCGCGCTTTCCATCTGAGGTTATCTCAGCACTTAATAATTATTAAGGACTTAATATGACATGAACCTGCTGGTAGCGGAGCTGCTCGTTGGTGCTGCTGTTATTAATTCTGACAGAAGTACATCTTCCCATGCTTTCACTTTGCAGAATTTCACACTCCTCAGTCTCCTGGGCTAGATATTAACGTCTCCACATTTCTTCAGTGTTTGCCAAGCACAGGTTGGATGCAAAGGGGATATATTTAGAGGAGAAATTCCTGTTTATAGAGACAGCCACAGTTCAAGAGAGAAGTGGTCTCATTTGCATCCCCAAGCTGCCCCATTCTCTGATGGTTTGTCAGATAGAAGCTGTGTGACAGCTGCATCACAATGTAAAGCACTAAGAGTAACATGAAAATAATAAGATCAATTCTCACAAGAAAATAGATTTTCATTGTGATGCACTGGACTACCTCCTCAATAATAGAAAATGTATTGAACTTTCCTATTCAATACTTAATACGTTTGTCTGCTCTACTCTTCCCAGCACAGACCTGCACTTCTGTGGTGCTACTGAGTATATTTGACGAAGTGCTATGGACACACACGTTCTCTGCCATTTAGATAACCTGGTTTCCTGGGGTTGGTAGCTTCTCTCTTGTCTTACAATGTGATCGGAGCTCTGCAGCCTTTCCTTCAGTGGAGGATTCAGATCTCTCCTATGAATTCCCATTTCTATAAAGCATGCTAGAGCTGTGCATCTTTGATGCCTCCACTTTTTTGACAGAAACTGATGGTTCAAAAGTTTTGGGAGGGTCCTAAAAGGACTCACAAGTGGAAGGACCTTGACTGCATGAACACAGCTTGCCTGGGGTAAGGACTGGTGTCTGTTCACAGCAGTTTTCTGATATCACAATTGAGGAGAGAAAAAAATAAATAAAAAGCCACCATGTTATTTTCATAGCTAAGAAGTTGTTTTTATTGCTATTAGCAGCAACGACCTGGGGGAATTGATTACACAGGTGAGCCTCTACCTAATAGCTGTGTTTATCATTTTGCCTGCCATGGTGGGAGAGCTGCAGGTTCCCATACAGACAGATTGAAACGTTGTCTATTCTACCCTTGCTCGGCATCTTTCATGAAGTGCTGTTTTGTAACATATGGCAGTGAGCACCCACTCACTCCTCAGAGAATGCTAACAGATATCCCTATGCCAGCAACAGCAGTAACACAGGGATAGTAGATTTAACTTTCCTCTCTTCCGCCAGCTCCTACATACATCTTCATGTCCCTCTTAATGGAAGCACACTAATTAATATGTCAGAGAACTGCACTACAGTCTGACTCCAGTCCCCCTCGCTGGTACAGATAAGTCTTGCAATCAAGACAGCTTCACAATAAGAAATACATGTATTTTCATAGACAGATGCATATTTCTATTTTACACATCTCTGCATCACTCCGCTCCTAAAGCTCTTTCAGTACTGGTATCAACAGCACTCAGAGAAAGGCCCTCGCTTTGTGTTGAAGAACTGCAAACCCAGGCCTAAACAAACAAAAAAAAGTATAGGAAAACCTGACATTTTCTATCTGCAATAATAACTAAATAATTCACACTCTCTGAAGGTAAAAGCATCACACCTGATGCTGCCCCTAAGAGCCCTTCACTGCACATAAACCAACAACCTTTGGTAGCTTTGGCCAATTATCAGTCAGAAAATGCATTAGAAGAAGATGCATTTCTAAAGCTTTTGGTCAGATCCTGATCTCACAAGTCCAAGCCTAATTCCAGAACGAATCTATTCTGCTTCAGGATTGTTTTGGTGCAAGATCAAAAGAAAGTCCTCATCTTCACTCAGTCAATGGATATAATTCTAATGCCTTCAACCAACCATGGATCAGATCACGGTCATAACAAAAATAACCCTATGTCAGTTAAGCTCATATTTCTTCAGAGCACCACATGTCATTTAAGACTTCATTCTTGCTGCGAGTTTCTTAGTGTGACAGTCATGAATAAAAAACTTCCCACATATACAGCTAACAGTAATTTAGCATTTGTACTAATAAAGAAGATACAAAATAACATATGACAGGAACAGGAGTCTCATAAAGCATTGGTTCTTCCTAAAATCTCTGATTTCCATTCAAATTTTTCCAGTTTTAGGAAAATTCTAACTAGTTCACCCAACATATGGCTAAGGTTTTCCCTTGAAATTTTTAATAAAAATTTATTGGACCTTCATCATTACTTTCAATTGATTGCTTAAAATCCAACCAACATAATACTCAAAGACTAGTTAATGATGGTTGTTGGTAAGAAGAGCCTTTAAAAAGCAATAATTCCTTGCATTTTGAGAAACCTGAATGTGATCCAGTGGGAGCAAGTCCATCTCTTTAAATACAAACCCACCCTTTAAACACTTTATATGATCATTCTCCAGACAAGGCTAATAGGGTACAGAAAGTTGAGCATACACATTGCACGCCATTGCTGGCCTGATGTTCAACGAGCTGCTCATCTGCTCCCATCTGATTTTCCCTGTCCAATCCACGGACTGTTCTCTCCATAACATCAGTGTTCTCCTGCTGGCTGAGGTGAATGTAGGGCACTAAATAAGTTGATAATCCATTTAAGAATAGAAAAAAACAAACAATTGTACTTATTTCCTACTCAGCTCATTGGCTTCTCTCAATAGAAGACGCTCCTTGTCCTCTGGGATTACCTTGAAAATGAAAGGTTACCCCAGTGAGGAAGAAATGTAAAATAAATACTGCTATAAATAAAACATCTTCTGATATAAGGAGCAATGCTATCGTGTTACTGTACATCCAATATACGTACGGGCAGACCCATAACATAACAGCATGAGCTCTATTCTAGAAAAACTATTAACGTGCACTAACTGTTGCTTAACACCTCTGCACAGCAATGAAGCTGCCCTGTCCAAATGTCACAACTGGCAGAGTGGCCTTCAAACAGCAAGAGGCAGAACAAACAAACAAACAAGCAAAGCACAGAGTTGTCGGTAGTGCTTACCAAAACAAAGAGGCTCAGAGCTTGAGCTCCTCCAGCGCAAATCAGAAGCACCTACCTGTGTAAATAAACCTGCCTGGGGCGCCTTTGCAAAACTGTTTGGATTTGTATGATAATGTCACTTCAACCACTCCGGGAATGTGACGTGGAGGCGTCTGAACTCGAATGGCATGAGGCGTGATAAGCTGGGAAATGACAAAAGGAGAGACACAATTACACGGCTGTGTTATTCCCCCTGCTTACCTGCACCCTCCAAATGTGCTTTATGAGTAAGTGCACTGCTTAATGCTGTGTAGCAGATGCTACGGATTAGGCAACTGATATATCTCGTGTCATTTCTTACCTCCAGGAGAGGAAAGAGCATTTTAGGATAAATTGTCATCAAGGAAAAATAGTGTTACTTATACCCATTATTTCTGGACCCAGAGGAAATTCTTTCTCCTTTACAAACTGTTCCTATGTTCACTCCTCCTTTCTCTCCTTCTATATATTTACCTGTCTCCAGACCCCAAGAGTTATTCAGTCCTACTCTGGGTATTACTGAGCAGTTAGCCTCAGTAGTATCACAGAGCAAGTAGTTCCCCAGAGTAGATTTCTATGAATCACCTTCCTGGAGTTTTACATGGCCCATCTTACGCACCACCATTTTTGTAGCATTACTGGAATGGGAAATAATGCTGCTCCCTCCCTACTTTCCAAAGAACAGCAGTGTTCCTTCAGCTTGGGAGGTGCTCCTACCTACCTCACTCCACACAAGCATGGTTCCAAACACTACTTGAAGCCCATCAAAGAAGTTGTCTCCAATAATGATCACCATTGCTCCTCCTGTTGTCCACCCTTCGCTTGGGCTGATTGCTTTGATGCAAGGTGTGGCTGAACAAAACCAAAAGGAGAGCAGAGTGTCAGATAAGGGATTTAACACGCTGTGTGTAAACCCTTGCAGAAGATAAGTGCAAGCGACCTCTGTGCACGTGAAGCAGTCCTAAGTCATAATGGGGCAAACCGTAGCTTCACCTGTCTGCTCCTGGGACTTTCTGCACTGCTGCAGCTTCACACTGCCACGAATTCCCCAGTGCTGACAGAGGCCTAGGACATGTCCCTCCAGCCAGTCACCCGTGAAGGCTGCTTTTCCATTCCAGAAAGCCAAAGAAGGGAGTAAATAAATAAATAAATACAAATACATGCATGTTTTCTGCCTTGCTAGTGTTAATTACTTGCCTATTCATTACCAGCACTTAACACTGTGTCATTAAAGCCCTAATAGGCCAACTGTAGTGGGTGTAAAAATGAAATGCTTAAATGATCATGCAGAGGTTGTTTTTAAAAAAAAAAAAAAAAAACACCCACACTCATTAGCATATGATCACACAAAAGCTAAACCCTGTGCAGAGACGTAGATCAAGATTTATTAGGTTTATCAGTGGGCAAGAGAGATACGGAAATATCAAATGCTTCCTCCAATTCTTATCAGGAGACAATTTCTAACAATTTTCTTGGTTTTGTGGAATAGAGTTTTTTTTTCTTCTCTCTTCCATATGTTCAAGGCCTCTGGACTATACATCCCATCAGGAACCCAATATGGTTTCCAGGCCATAACCAAAGTCAATCCATCACTCCATTCCCAATGTTGACAGGGTCAGAGGTGGAGGGGAACTTTGGCAGGGCTCCAAAAACATGAGACTCCTTTGAACAGCCAGTCAATCACATCCAATCAGTCAAGGAAAAACTGGATGGCTTCCTAGGCTAGGAATCCTGGGATTTTCCTTCTACCATTTCACTGCCCGCTGGGGGAGAATTAACACCACTCTGAATTCTTTACTGATTCAATCATTTTCTTCCAGTTCATTAATTCTTCTTATAGGTTGATATAGGGCACATTTAAGGAGTGGGGCAGCAAAACATTATAATGAAATAATATCCCTGCTTGTCTTTTCTGCTAACATCACTAGCTCTTCTCACTTTCACTAGCTGCAGGGGAGGGAAAAGTAGACACATATAGCATTTGCTAGTAATTTGGAGTACTGTCTGCATGAGAAGGCAGAACGCGTTGGTAATGAATGCACGAGAAGAGGGAGAGGAGGGGCCAACCACTCTGAAACGTAACAGACCCAAGTATTTGTAATTAATACAGTCCAAAACCATCCTGTAGACGGCCGTGAGCCTTGCTTAGCCAAACAAACTAAAATCAATTAGTGTCAGTTTCCTTCTGTGCATTGTTATGCTTTGCACATAGTTTGTTTAAGGGAAGCAGTGACACTTTTTCATACACATCTTGTGCTGGAACAGTTCTGTTTAACTAAGATGTCATGTTGCCTAATTTGCCTGAAATCAAATCAATCCCAGCTGAAAAAGAAGTCCGAATTTTAGATAATACTCAGTGTTTCTGCGTTTTTCATCTCTTCAGAACAAACTAGTAAATGAATTGGGAGGGGGAGGAGGGAAGCCAGCATCTTATACGTGAAGAGAATGATATTTTGCATGCAGTAGACACTGTTTTCCTGCCTTTTCCTTCTCTAAGCCCCCTGAGGTTCTGTAGTTCCCTCTTAGCTCTCCTTTCCTCCTGAAAATAAACAGAAATTGAGGAATGGGTAACATGCTTTTGGACTCATTTCTGTCCCACTCTTCATACAGCATCCTACCTTCAGAGGGGTCGAGTCTCCTTGCTCTCCGTCCATGCTTGGAGTTGTTGTGAACAAACATGTTGTCAGACACTGCCAGCACGTGCCCATCAACATTCACTGTTGTGGATAGCACAACCTAGATATTTTCAAAGGGAAGAAAAAGGAGGCAGGTAAACAGCTTAGTTGGATATTCAGCTCATAATGTATTAATTATTCAGTTTAGTTAAAATCTTATTCTGTTTGTAAAATGAAATCATGTCCTGCAGGTTTTACTCCCTAGCAAGAATGGGAGAAAATATTCTCAGCTTTTACTCTGTGCATTAATTCCATTTAACACAGCATCCTAAGGGCCATATAAAGTCCTTAATGTATAATGAACCAGCTACTGCAGATGGCCCTAAATTTCGTTTCCTATGATGCACCGTAGCATAGCTGATGGCAAAGAAGTCTGTATACAGCAACCAGGAGGACAGGCTGCAGAGCACCGCAGCAATTTGCCCTCTGATACATACATGCAGATTCAGAGCCATCTGCTGTACTGCACACACATGCAAATGCATCTGCATCTGCTTCAGAAATAAAGGTCTCCATTGACCGAGCAAAAGAGAAACTCCTACGACGTGAAAAAAGTACCTAATACGATGGCTGGTTTTTACATATACAGTCTGAGTGCCTCTCAGAAAACACCTGAGCCTGAGCACACAGAGTCAAGCACCACATTTGAAAGCCTTGGCCTCCATGGCTTCACTGCTGGGCTCTGAAGGCGTAGGAATTCTTAGAGTAATTGAATATGTTAATGAATCCTGCTTCACTCTCCCTTTCAAACACAACGTCCCAAACCTGTCTTTAAACCACAAACTTTAAAGAAAAAAAATAAAAAAATAAACGATCCTGCATTTTAAAACTGAAAAAAGATGCATCTTGTTGAAACTTTGGGGTTTTGGCCATCAGTTGGCGCAAATCAGCTCAGCCCCACTCAGCTGCCACACAGCAATAGAAACCCACAGCTATTGAGGATTTGACCCTGGACACATTCACAGCTGGCGTGGTCCAGGTAAGAGAATAGGCTCTAATTGTTGATGAAGCAATACTCATCACACAGCACGAGAAACCTTGCCCTCCGGCAGGATTCTGCAAGTTTAAAGAATACTTTCTTTCTCGAGACAAGTTTAATTCATTCCAAAAGGCTCTTGTCATACCGTGCTCTTATATTTCCCAAGCATTCTTGTCACAAAATGTGTTGCTTTCCGTGTGCCAACGGATTTCATCATTGCACATTTGGGTGGAGTGAGACTCCTATCCAGGGTGAACGCTTCCCGCATGACATAGCTGAACCCACTCAGATGCACTTCATTATTTTCCGTTAAACAATGGAAATAAATTTTAATCTCTCACTGGCCAGCGCAGAGCACACTGTGGCAACAGGGGAATAGGCCTGAATTATTCCAGTGTCTGAAATATTTACGACAAGAGTTTAAATTGCAACCAAATGTAAATCAGAAGTATATCATATATACACAGTTACATTATATAATATATACATACCTGACCTCACATACACAAGGTACGTATGTGATAAATGCACACCCATGTGCCCTCAGTATGGGATTTTTTATAGTATCTGCAGACTCAAGTATGCACACTCCCTGTTTGAAAACCCACTTGGGTGTCAATGCTGCACAAAAAAAAATGAGTCCTATTTCAAGAGTAATAGCAAAAAAAAGTCCTGCGTTTAGAAGCTGAGTGTTGAGCATCCTCAGTTCCAGCTGAAGAACCTCTCCCCGTGAATGGCTCCATTTCTATTTACCTCTCCTGTTTATCACAGGAGGGTCAAACCCAGTTGGCGTTGCATCAGCTGGGCCCTATGGTAAATAACTGCAATCCTCAGGGATAGAACAAAAGCAAAGTGCAGATCTGGACCAGAACCTTCTCAAAGTTTTAGACCTTCTTTGCAGTAATCTTTAAGGCACTACTGAAATTCAGCGTGCATCTTTGTCATGGTTACTATGACACAGCAAGCCAACTCATTATCAGTGCTGTGCAGTAAGAATATGCAAGATTATGGACATAACAACTCCTGAGCTTCTCTACTTTGGTTTGGTCATTCCTTCTTGGCTGGTGAAGATGGCAACCCAATTGTTTTATACTGAAGATTAAAAAATAATTTTTTATGGATAAAGGGAAGAGGAATGCGCATTCCACTCTGGTCTCTAACTCCCAGGCCCTTCCCTTTCACAAGCCAACTGCTTTCCCCCAGTGAGTATTTCCTGGGTCATGAAGGGTGACCCTTTCCATCTGGAATCAATCAGTCAACTCCTGACAACTTCCTGAAACACCTCACTCCATTTCCTGTTCTCTCCCCCTTCTCCCTTTCCCCCTGGTTTGCTTCACTCTTCAAAACTGCAGGCCACAGCAGCTTAATGTTAGAGGGTCAGACACAGTTAGACTCCAAAACACTACATAAGAACACCTTTGACCTTCAAAAATCTTTACATCTTAGCTAAACAAATCAAGGTCAACGCTTCTTACCATTACCTTGTTAACCATTTCTAGGCTTTTTTTTTTCTTTTTTTTTTTTCCCAATACCTTTCTGAACACTTGTTATATTTATATATAACATATATATATAATATTTATCAATAACACTTGTTCTCCCAACATCGTAAAACATCCCAAGCCTTTTTGTAAACCTGTGTTTAGTGCTGCTGAAAGGCAATGTGCAAACTGCTCTGGAGATTTAAGTTCTCAGATTTGCCCACAGCACTGGCAAATTATTGACAAATGTTTTGAGGTTTCTGTTTCCAGATCTGATGGCTCGACTTCTTGTGTGTGGAAATTCAGCTTCTACACCAATTCCATTTGAGATCTTCTTGCTAAAATCAGTAGTTAATGCAAAACACAATTCTGAGGAAACGACCTGAGAACATCAAAATATGTCAGCTAGAAAATGCATTCTGGTAATTGTAGCTTAAGGCCAAATTTGACATAGATGGCATAAATAAAAAAGATGTTATGCTCCTAAACAGCTGGATCAACCAGTCACCTCCAGTGGAGCTTCAGAGGACAACCACCTGAGCAAGAAACAGACACAGCAAAGTGCTCCTTCAGCCACCAAAGGTGGGTTCCATCTACAGCAACAGCAAGGGAAGTGCCAGCTTCTCAGCAGGGCTTCCAGCAGCTCTCCAGAATCTCTTTGCACATCTGCAAGGGTCTCAGAACCAGCTATAAAGCCACAGACCTGGAGCAACGATTCTGCAGCAGTGCTGAAGAAACGTGTGGTTGTTTTTGCTTCCCAGGTGGATTTCTGTAATGTGCTTCCTCCTCAAAAGCCACAGTGAAGGCTCATCACCTCCCGTGACATTCAGTCAGACCGGGTTTAGCACATGGCACTCAGGTTCCCCGAGCTGGATTGCCCCTCTTCCATTTCCCTGCACAGTTCAAAGTGTTGGTATTACTTTACCTTAAAGATTACCTCTCTGACTCGCCAGTACTGACAGCACCAATCAGTCTAACAGTTCACATTACCCGTTTTCAGACTAAAATCTTCAGCTCTGGCAGCAGCCGTTCTTCGTTAATGACTGCGTCCCCCGCAGAAGCCCACTGAAGGGTGGGCGATGGGGCAGGCACATTCTGCACCTACCTAATGGTACTTTAATGAAAAGTTCAGAAATACTACAAATTCTTGGTCAGAGGCACTGCAGTCTTTTCTCCCCCATCTGTACATTATATTGATACCTCATTAATATAAACTCTGCTCCTCTTCAAATCGTATACGCGCAAGGCAATACCCAGCATCTACGTACAAAAGCTGCATCACTCGTAGACACCTATTCAGACATATGGTACAAACATTCTAGGCATAGAGGCGTTTATTTACATGTAACATATCTCATCACTGTGTAAATGATCTCTCTCAAAAAATTCCTGTTACCATTCCAAGTGTGGAAAAAATTCTTATGACATTGTACATCTGGAAACAATATTACATTCCTGATGCACTTTCCCTTACATCTCTCTAGTCACAGCACCATGTTATTTTAACTTTTCAGAAGAATAACTACTAGGAGGATTTTAAAAATTATTAGCGTTATTATTATTTTCCAGCTGGGTGGAAGAAAAGATGTCAGGCCTCATCCTGCTGTCTTCACTTGGATGGGGCTCCCATTGATGTCAACAGGCGTTTGGGTTGAGTAACACAGGAGTAGATGCTATAATATGTGTTTGCTTCATAGTTGGATTAGGAATAAGATAAACAGAGAGGAAAATGCCAGCAGCTTCTCTCTGCTCAAAACTTCCATCAGATTCTTCGGGAAATCCCCTCTGATACCCTAAGCCTGCTGAAAACTGGGAGCTGATAGGAGCTCTGCATGTGGCCTTCATTTTGGGAGTGGGGCCTCCTGCCATTTTAGGGGCACTGGGTAGGAGATAACTCCTGGGTCACTGCCATCCCATCTCCCGCTGTTACAGACGACTAAACCATGCAGCCACTTCTAAACAATTGTCTTAAACCAGTCGAGCTGGTGCCTTTGGATCTTGTCCTGTTTTAAAGCCTATGTCTCCTGATGGTGAGGGGCTTAATGGTTTACAGCGTAAGTTCATTTGTAGTCAGTCCACACGTAGCACTAGCTCTGAAATTACTATTTCCCATTCTGATCTATCTCAGGATATTTTCAGTTATGCCCTTTCTCAGTGTGTGTTCCTGAAGTATAAGAGCTAAGTACCCCTCCCTATTCCACAGTGTTCCAGTCCTGCACCTGTACCAATCCCATTTCCATTCCGTTTAAAATCAGTTAAACCAGCACACTGTATTCCTGACACAAACACATCTTTCCTTCTACCAGCAGAGTTTACCTGAGATCCAGTAGGATCTCATTTATGGTTTGCTTTAATGGATGATACACAAGTTTGGCAACCCACGGAGCACACTGAGCTCTCTGAGTGGTTCAGTTGCAATCAGTCCCACCCTTACATATACAGACTCTAAAATAACATCACCTCCAGTGAAGAATTCTGCCAGCAGTAGCTGGACTCTGCTGGTAGAAGTTGCTCTCATTTTGCAAGCTATAGCTGGGAAATGAATCTCCCATAATGACATCAGTTCCTGTAGTATTCATCTCTCTAACAGAGATCTCTGTCCACGTCCAGATCTGACTGTGGGGGTCCTTAGCACGTTCTCTCTCCATCAGTCTGAAAGTGATTTTGATTTAGACCAGTTCTGTTTTCCTCCGGCCATCCCTTTCTGTTTCTTCACACAGTGCAGCATTCCTAAACCTCAGCACCATCCGACTGCTCTGACCCGTTTTATTCCTTCCCAAACAATACAGATCCTTCTGCGCTTCATACTGAGCCGAGCTGGGTGAATTCTCAAACACAGCCAGCTTGGCTCAGGTGCCTGATGATGAACTGATCCAACCACTCCGAGGTCAGGAAGGAAATCTCCCCAGGGACATACCTTGTTATTTTTCCTTTCTCTTTCTCCCTAGAGCACCTAGAGGGGAATACTTGCCAGGAAACATTCCATGTCATGATTTCTGCAGAAAACAGAGGACAGTTGCCGACCTTTCTCTTTTCTGTTACTAAAAAATGATGTTGATTCAAAGATGACCATCATTAGCTGTTCTGTTGCCCGGTCCCATTCACAACCACAGCACTGTAGGATCTGTACAACCAGTGCGAGTGGATGCAGCAGAATTCCCAGTCAACAGGAGGCTAATGCTTTAGCACCAGGTCTCAGCTGAAGCATTTTAGCTGAAGTGCCTCATCTTAATTCCACAGAATTATTGTCCCCCATTACACACCGGTCGTTACCATTAAGTGTCATTGGGCTTCAATCAAGTTCTCCAGGAGAAGTCCTCATTAAGTGGAGGGCATCACTGTTTCTTTTTTAATTCTGTTTCTGGGAGATCACTCACTGAGAGTGCAGCACTGACAGTAATGACAATACACAGGAAAGCTCAGATTTGCAGATCAGTTGAACTCAAATAGCGCTGTGTTTGAGCCGGTAACTTAAACATTCCTTTTTTGTTGTTGGTTTCATTTTTCACCTTTCCCTTTCATTCAGAAATGTTTTAACTGATAAATAATCAATATTTGCTTCGGCTGAATTGACAAGAATGTGTTCATGTGTGCATGTGGGCAGGCAACAAGTAACCATGAAAACATCCATTAGCAATAGAAAGATTCCCCATCCTTACTGAGTCACAGTAAAATTACATTATTACTGGGAGAAGGGATGTTAAAATAATGATCACGTCCTTTAGCTTCTGAGGTGCAACACATTTCAACAGTAGAAAAATATTAGATGTGTAAGGTCTGTAAAAGTTGAGAGATTTTCATTTCATCTGCGAAGATCTACTTAATATCAAAGCAAATTTCAAACAGTTAACGTGATCACAAAGCAGCTGGTGTTGCTTCCAAACCAAAGAATTATTCTTAAAAACAAACAAAAAACAAAAACTTAAAAAATCCCAACCACAACTCTTCAGGCATCTGGAGCTGAATTAAAATTACAATGCAGTGTTAATGTAACCTTTACACCCTTTTTTCTCCCCACCCCCAGGTTGTGTTTTTTTTCTTTTTTTAAGTGGGTGTGACATAAACGAAATCTAACATTTAATTTAGTTTAACAAACTGTAACTATGCTACACGAGAGCTAAATCTTGTATCTAGAAATACAGAGGCTGAGGCCAGGATCTGCATCCCAGTTCCCTGGAACCAAAACGAACAGCTTCACACCCATCTCTAATCAGAAGCATTGACTTGACACTCTTCCAGACATGAGTAACCATTCATCCCTGCTTGGAGAACTCAGTAAGCTGTGTTGTGCTGCACAATTTCCATGTCTCTTATTTACGTTTCTGTCTCAACAACAAAGCCAAAGCTTCGGGCTTTCATTCCATCTCCATTAAAGAGCAGAAATGTTTTGATGAGACCCTTTCAGTTCCAGATTTCAGTAGCAATGGGAACTTGGAGACTGGGATTCTCTCTTCTGTGTTTTGTTTTGTTTTTTAAATAATGAGCTAAATACTAAAATCAGTAAAGCAGCCAACTGTACTGGGCTTTTGACCTTGCTTTTACTCTGATCGTACGTTCCTGGACAAACATCCATCCTTTCAAACCCAAGAAGCAATCCTGCCCATTAATTACACCGCCTGATACAAATCTTAAAAACTAAAATGAACACGACCATGCCCACGGTGCACAAGTGTATACTGCTAATATTTGGAACAAGGCCCCTTTTTCCACTTAAGACTTCAAAAGCAGCCGACAGACACAGCAAGAATCAGGCAAAAAAAGTGTTTGCCTAAATTAAAAACAATAATACTAAATTGGAGGAGGATCCTGATGACACAGCAGACCACTCAAGGGTGCTCTTTTTTACATCACAACCATGGAAGTCATGCTTCAACCCTTAGAAGCAATCCAGCAGACTGAAAACAAGCTCTCTCTGCAGTCCATCCTGGCTAATTTCCATTGGAACACTGAAGTTTTTACTCTGAACACATACAATTTTAGCAATGGAACTTTTTTTTTTTTGTAACTTTATTCATACATTCTGAGCTCCACAGCCCAGAACAAAGCTCATCAACCAACGCGCCCTGTGCTGAAGGTGCCTGAACAAAGATTCTGCTTTCCCTCAAAACCTCAAGCATTTGACAATTTGCTTCAAAGGGCTCATTTTCATAACACCCAAACGAAGTCCTGTGAACATTTTGGGTTTCGACAGACAGATGAATGTAGAAGCTTTGTCTAATCTTGATTAACGTTGAGGTTTGAACTTAAATCTCACGACAGAACTGGAAAGGATATGAATCCACATTGACTGCAAGTGCAAGAAGAGTTTAAGCAATCTCTGCAAAATAGAACCAGAGTTGTGCTTGGCTCTTTGCTTCAGGCTTGGCTGCTGTAGGGCAGAAAATCCAGATCAGGAGGCGTTGGCCCCAGCTCACTTTCGTCTCCAGTAAGCTGCTGATTTTGGTACAAAGATCTAAAGGAAGCCAATGCTTCCTCATGTACAAGAGGAATGCCAGGTGGATGGGCTGAAGGCATTCCATCAGTACGTGTGCATGCTGTAAAGCTCGTTTTAGTTTCACTTTTCAATGTCCCACTAAAAACGTGAAGCTGTTGAGATTCTTAATAAAATGGCTATTTTTGCTGTGGAGATGTGGAGGTGAAACAAAGAGTAAAGCTGACATTAGAGAGAGATCTTCACCAAAAAAAAAAGAATCCAAAATCCTCATGCAATTCAGCATTCACCTGAAATCTACAATTTCAGCTTCAATCACAAAGTAGAGTTCATTTTTTTGCTCTTGTAACTCTATCATTGGTATTATGGCAGTGCTAACCAGGATGCCCTTGTGCACAATTTCCTACAAACTCATAACCAAATGAAGAGTCTCTGGATTCATGCTTCATTACACTCTGCCCTCAGCCATCCTAACCAGCCCTAAGAGCTAACAGGATCAGTTCACATGCTATCATTTGAGTTTTCCTTTACTCTCCTTTTTGGCATTCATGGAAGATGATAATAGCATTTTTTTTCTTGGTGGAAATTACAGTTTCCATCAATTTGCTAACAATTGCCACCTCTATTTTTTTTAATTATTATTATTAAATTTTTTGATGTCTTATCATCTCCAAAAAACACAAGGAGAAACTCCAGTCTCATCAAACCACCGGTGCCAAAAAAACAAAGTTGGGTTGGACTATTATTTTTTATTTATTTCCACTAAAAACCAAAAAATAACCATTTTTATACCTTTAGCCAACACTTCTCTAAAATTTTTAGAGCTTTCAGAGATACCAGAGTGGATTTTCATTTTCACCAACCCGAGCTTTTTCTTTTTTTTTTTTTTGAGAAAAAACATCCCTCCCGTGAAACTGTATTCCCACTAAAAATACAAACCAAAATACATCATTTCGTGGAAAGTTTGACACGGGGCTGTAAATTTCTATGGAGTTTTACTTGGTTTCTAAATGAGGAAACTGAGGCAAGAGCCCAATAACTAACCATGATTTGGCAGACCTCAGGATGTCACTGCCCTCCACAGACCTGATGGGTCTACAGGAAAGCCATGCATCCCCCTGCAGCTAAAACCCTCTTTGTGTCACAGATGGGTAGCAATGAGGGCACGAGAAAAATGGCAACAAGTAGTAAAACCACGTTACCCTTTTACAGGTAAAACACTAAACTATTAGACATAGCTGCTTAAAGATTAGAGTGTGGAAGAAGAGGGACTGCGTCAGCCTTTCCCTTCTTCGCTTCTAACCTGACACACTTCACCTCCTCCTGTGTTTTTATTAGCTGGTGTTCACAATACATCAGCGACAGCTATGATGAAACCAGTGGCAGATTTTACTGCAAAGCAGCTGGGTCATCGTCCCCTGGGTCTTGTTGCTTTCCTGCGTGAGATCTTAAAGTGACCATCACTATTTGGGCTATTTTTTTTTTAAAGAAGCTGAAAGGAGGGCGTGAAAGAGTTAAAAGGCAAAAGAGATGGGAAGAGAGAGTGGAGGGAAACAGGGAGATGCTTCTGTACCACGTACAGAGCTACTTTGAAAAATTCTGAGGCATCTAAGTATCACAAACACGATCCCTGCTGTGGGCAGCTGTACGTGTGAGTGCTTTGCCCGAGGGTGTCAAATCAAATATCCACTGCTGGTTGGTACAGTACATCACTTCCCCTTGGGGATTTGGAGTGGGAAAAGACAGAGGAGAGGGGGAAAAAAAAAGGTTTAACCACAACAAACGGAGAAAAACTTTAACAATATCCGATATGGCTTATCACAGACCGTCATCTTATTTATTACGAGCAACGTAGGGGAGAGGAGAAAAAGAGAACGAAAGAGACAGCTTAATGCTGAGCCTTACCTGGAACCGCCTCATATCTCGGGGGTTTCCTGCTGTTTTCAAACAATTCTGATTGCACTTGAGAAAAAATTTTAAGAAGAATCTGTAACGGTAAAGAATTGTGCCACTGTTATTAACCATAACGAAACGCGTTGTCGTGTTGTGACTGAAAGTACACAGCAGAGTGATTTAGATGGAGGTATGTCAGCCATCCAGGACTGGGAGAACTCGGAAAAAAAAACCCACACAGCCAACCCCAACAAACAAAAAAACACACCAAAATTTAGAAAAATGGTGTGAACTGCACTCAACTGACCATAATCAGCTCTGAGATGGGCTGTTAGTTGATACAAGTCAACGCAACTACTTTGATTTATGCCCATTTCTCCACTGCACATTTGACCACACGATTTGAGTCTGTTCCCTTATCTCTCCTGTGCATACAAGGGCTTTCTTTAGCTGTCTGAATGGATTTTCCATGAGACAATATAGAAGGATAATGTTATTGTGATAACTACAAAAACCGACAGGGCAACTCTGTGGCTGATAAGCCTTGAGACTACTTAGAACATATAAAAAAACACAGAGACAAACAGAGCTCCCAAAAGAAGCTGATGAGATTTCATCCTGATGATGTTTTTAGCTGTTAAGATTTCGGTAACTAAAGCAAAAAAAGACCCAGATCAGAACCTTGCACTGATTCTGAGAGAGGATAACAAAATCACAAATGGAAGTAATAGGTGACAGCTCACACTGTCCAAGCAGATAAACCCATTAACATCATACAATGTGTCCGTGCCAATTATTTTTGCCCTGTCACATATATCTATCTTTATACATTATTCTCCCATCGAGTTCAGCTTGCTGTGGATGTGAGTTGAACCTTCAGGATGCTGATGGGCTCACCCAGCACCATGTGTTATAACATACAGATCTCAAATTTCAGCAATATTAGGAGACCTTTATCAAATTTGGGTACTCCACAAAATTTTTCATTAGGATTCATCCCTTTATTATCTGATTCATCTGATGACATTTTGAATTTACGAGGTAAAGGAGCCAATTCTACATGAAAGATCACAGTTGTTGGATTAAAAACATTCAAGTCTTCACAATTCAGACAAAACAGGCAAAAAAATCTCACAGATTCTTCACTCTACCATAAGTGAAAATATTTTCTGTGACTCCTTTCTGCGTTTCCATTTGTAGAACAAAACTGATTTAACAGCAACAATTAAAAAGAAAAAAAAAAACAGATTTTAAGATAGGTTTGAACGGAAAAGATACAGATATGAGGAAAAAAAAGAATGATACAGTTGAAGAATTGGTTCAGAATACAAAGAACTTATTTATTTATTTCTCTTACTGAGTGCTTTTCTGAAAAAAAAGGAAAAAAAAGAAAAAAAAAATCAGCTTTTGCAGTAAGTTAAAGTCCCAGGTGAGCCAGGCCTATTTCCCTTTCTGTTACTATGACAACGATTTTTTACCGCAGTCCCTAAGTCCCTTCAGAACTCACACATTCATGCCTTGAATTAGAACTTTAAAGGAGAAAGATGTATATTTCCTAGGGTTTACCAACAACAACTGCCAAAATAGTCCTAATGCAACACACAAAAAAGCAGAAATTCAGTTCTCCTTGCTTTTGCTACTTCTTTGCATCACTTACAGTGCGGTATTTCTCTTCCATCTGCCCCAGAAATACAAAGAAATACCGAAGGATCTGATCCATTGAAATGTGGCTTGAACAAACAAAACCCTTCACAGACCTCCCTACAACCAAACCCACAAAAACGACCCAGGGAACGTCACATACAATGACTGTCACAAAATACATCCTTCTAGCGAGCATTTGTTTGCCTTAAATCTGTCACAAACACTTTAAACATATCTAAAATGTTTATTTGCTGTGCGAGTGCATTTTGCAGACCAGTATTTTTGTCTCCATTTTCATTTCTGGGTTACAACATAGCAGCTCTGAGTGCATGGGCTGCGATGGGAGCCCAACATCCTCACTGATCCCATTGGGATCCAGGTGTCGGGAGTCCAACATCCCAACTGATCTCATTGGGATCCAGATGTCCCCATTGATCCCCACTGGGATCCAGGTGTTGGGAGCCCAAGTTCTCCATTGGGATCCAGGAGCAATGGGAGCTGGGTCCAGGCTCCCTTGGGCAGCTCGTGGGATCCCAGCCCTGGTCACTCACAGATCTTTGTGCCTCAGGAGCACGCTGCATGTATTCTATCAAACAAGTTGTATCGACTCCTCGTGCCAAAACTGTGGCCTCTTTTATTTGAATGATCAGCAAGCAAGATTTTATCTGTAAGAACGTTTTCAGAACGAACAATATTATGCATACTGGCGCACTCAGACGTTCACAGGAGAATTCCAGCCAGAGATGTTGCTCACAAACTCCTTGTTATCCTGCCCTCTTCTTACAGATATCAAAAAAAATTTGCAGATACATAAACTGCTTATGCTGCTGAGATCTGGCTGTGCAGGGAGAAACTACAGAACGCCGCCAAACTGTGTAATGAAACCAAGGCAAGCAACTTCTGCATGGAACTCAGTGAGCCCATGGATATCCGCTTGTTTGGGAGAAAAAATGCAGACAAAAACCCGCAAGATTCATGGCTTGTCATTGCTTTCAAGGAAAAATAAAAGATCAAATTAATCAGGAAAGTGTTTGCTTTGTAATTTTTAAAAAATTCTTGTATGCCTTTCAGATCAGAGAAACAAGGCAAACTAAGGGACAAAGATCAGAGCACAGATGAATCCAACGGAGCTCGCCGTGTCAGTGAGCTGCCCTGGGAAGAGCTGAGTCCCACAGCATCGTGTGCTGCACCAAACCCTACAGCACAGGCACAAGAGGTAAAAACTCTACGCTAATCTGCGTTTAACAGCACCCAGGACTGAATTCCATAACACCACGTGGCAATTAATGAAATTCATATTTTCTGTTAAATATCTAAAGAATGTTTGGGTGTGGATGCCCAGCTAGTGTAAATCAGAGGCATATGTGGAAATTAACTTGCATTTCAATTAGATCTGCACTGATTCATCCCGCTGGGTGTACTGACCATTAAAACTACACAGAAAACAGAACTCTCCTTGTCTAAGAGCTGGATGCCTCCTTGGAGGAGCAGAGCATCACAGCCCTCCGCAGTGGTTGGGGACAAATATCCAGCATCGAAGCACTCAGCCAAGATCTGTAACCAGGAGCAATTTCCATATGCAGCAAGTTGCCTGGTTTAGTGGAGTTCTTGAGCCCCTCAAGCTGCTGAAAACTGTGCACCCCTAAGATATCACAAGGTGGGGATCAGTAATCCCTCACCTCACTTTTCAAACTGCTGCCTCAGCTCTGAGGTTGCAGCATTGGAGCAGAATCCATCCACTGCCATGCCAACTTATCCATGGTTTCTTTAGCATATCACTGGATGTGCTATATTTCAATGTCTCCTTTCAGAGTTTTTCTAGTCAAATTTTAGCTGCAGCTGGGCACTCACATCAAGTATTTGCTAGGTCGTTAGATATACATATATATTTTTAAGTGGTTGCATCTGGGAAAGGTATTAATATTTATTGCAGCATTAGAATAAAAATGACTTGGGGGGGAGCAGAGAGAAGGATTAGCACTAAATGAAGCTGATTTAGGGGTAACAGGAGAATTGCAGAAGGGCTGTATTAATTTTTTTAGCCAGTTTTTGGCATGGACTTATACATACATCAAAAAATGAAAATAATTTTTAAAAAGTTAAACAACTGCTGATTTTCATGCTTCTCAGATGACCTGTGTTCCTTCCAAAGGACAGCACCAGCTACAGGTTTAGCAGACTGCAGCCAAGCAGAGAGAGTGTGGCACGGTCCTCCCATAGATCAACACTGAAGGGCAATGAGGGAAAACTGGAACACTTTGAATAACTACCACAAAGAACCTCTGGCATCTCTATAGAAAGCCTGATTAACTTCACTGTAGATGTAAAATGAATTAAGACATGCTACACACATTCACTTCAATATGGTCAAGCCTTCCATCTACAGGCTGATGCACTTCCAGAGGTCTCCAAACACCGCCTTAAAAACATTCCCTCTTCTAGGATTTCAAGGGAGCTCTTTTAAAAGTTTCTGCTCATCCTATTGGGAGTTACCACCGTGCTGGTATCACTTAAATGCCCCTTTTTCACTGTAGTGCAGAGACAGCTGTGTTATCTCAGGCCAGCCTGCCCGACTGCAATGGATAGCGGGGTGGAGTGCTCAGACATCCCATAATGTTCAGAGTGGAGGGATAAAGTCCCCCACAGGTAGCTGCCAATGGACAGGAGAAAGGGTGAGGGCAGAGCAAGTGAGGTCTTGTATCTATCAGGCCGTTCCCTGCGATGCTGGCCCATACTGGCACTTTGTGTCTGTACACCCATGTTATAAGGCTCTGAAACAGAGGCGATTTAGGATGCGTAATCTGCCCCAGCAGCAATTAGCAATCTGCTAACTGCTTTAGCAAGGGGGTTGATTGGATGACCTCCGAAGAGCCCTTCCAACCGCCATGATTCTGAGATTCTACGTAGCTGGAACTCCACCTCTGAGGATGTTGTTCATCCTCCATCTGAGCTGACTGAGAAGAACCTTAATCAAATCCTGTTGGAGTCAGAATAACACTCCTCATGACTTGAACAGGACGAGGCAGAGGCCCTAAAGAGCACTCTCATGTGCATGAGAAAGTGTAGGCTTCTTTTAAAAAAAAATAATAAAAAAAATCCATTACTGTTTTTGAAAACCCTGCCACAGGACCTGGGACTGATTAGTCTCCCCACATGGAGACACAGCACTAGATAATGTGCCTTGTGCTTTTGCAGCACCATTCTGTGGGACTTCAGCTTCAATTAACTCAGCCTCACCAAAGCCCTGTGCAGCACGTGGTGTCACTAACCACCATACAGCAAGGAAATCGGGACCTGGGAACTGGAGGGGAATTGCTCATCGCAGGCCTGCGGCTGGGATGCAGTCTCTTGATTCCTGCTTTTACATCTTAACTAAGCTTCCTATCCACCTTGTGTGCTTTTGTAAAGTACAGGAACAGAATCAAGAGAGACAACTTTGTTGTAATCTCC